AAAAAGAACGAGAATGATATGAATATAAATATAAATAAATAATAGAAATAAAATAAGTATAATTTGTAATAAATATTAAATATATAAAGAAATGTTATAAAAATATAAGATTTCGATGCGTTAAAAATAATTCATTCGAGAATCGAGTATCGATCGCATCGAATTAAATAATCGAAACTAAATCGATATAATAAATGATATTAATAATACATTTAACTTTTAAACGTAAGATTTAAATAAACAGAAAAGTAATTGCCGAGATTAAGTGTATCGAAATAGAAACGAGGTCGAATAATAGCCGAACTTTTATACAAGCATATAATTTGCTTTTAATATAATACGATACCGAAACAATTCCGAATTATATAACACTTATTTCCGCTCGTCGTATTTTTTATTTGCTAAAGCGAAAAATATTCGAAAGCAATTCGAAATCCTTATGCGTAATCTCTATTGCAAAATAAGTATTAAATTTTCAATCTCTTAAGCTTAGCGTAGTATTTCCGATACTTAGTTATTGCTTACTCTTTTAAAAAAGAAAGAGTAGTAGACTCGTATTAAAAGCGATATTAAATCGAAAAGAGTAAAGTATATTAAACGAATAATACTTCGAGCGTATCGCTATGCAAAATAGCTTAAGTAAATAGAATTTTATAAATACCGAATTAAATTTTAATTAGCTCGATTTTCGAATTAAAATAACGACCTTTTAAATAGTACTTATCGAGTATACCGAATAGCATGCTCGACGGATATAAATCGAAGAAAGATCGCTTTTAAAGTAATAGCCTCGAAGCTTATATGCAAAAGCACTTAATTATTAGCTTAGCGTATATCGAATACTCTTCGAGAGAGTATCGTAAAAGCATATAATCAATAGCTTAGCGTATAACGTAAACTTCGAATATATAGCTTCTCGCAAAAGAAGCAAGTTTAAAGAAAGTATAAAAACCAACTTTTAATTCGATTCTTTGCGTAAGTCATTAAATATATATGAAAGAGAAGAGCTCCGATATATACTTAACGTCAAATCAAAAGATATATATAAATATAGCTATAATAGAATCGTAAGTAAATAAAAAGAGAAAAAGAAAACGATCGAAAGACATTCGAATGTGTATTATAAGTACGTGTATTATATTATATAGTAATATGATGCTAGTTTAAAGAAGAATCAACTACTCGTTTATATAAGAGCTTACACGTAACTTAACCACGTGCTTAGCAAGGCCAAAGCATGCAGCGCACCTACGTGATAAAGGTGCTTAGCATTAATACTATATACATGGACAAAACAAATACAGAGCCGCAACTCCACCACATTAATAAATCTGATTAGTAAATTTGATTAGTAAATCGAATTAGTAAATCTGATTAATAAATAATAAAACTAATATCAAATAGACATATTTATTACGAAGAACGCTTTCGTATTAAGATTTAAAATTAGCATTTCGAAAAAGTGTTTTAAATATTATATTATTTACGCGAAGCCCGTTTCGAATAATTAATAACTCGAATTAGAAATCTCTTTGCGAATTACAAAACTTATATCTTAAGCTCTTTAATGCTTTAATTATTAAGCGAAACCTCGACGATAAGATTTTAAAAATTAATCGCTATTTATTAAATAATTTATTAGCTAATTAAAAACTTAATATTTCATTAAACTATTAGTTTAGTATTAAGCGTTATTTTTTTATATACATAATCGGAATTGCAATTACAAAAGATTAGCATATGATTCAGCTTATGCTTAGATTTATATACGTTAAGTTTGATTATATAAAAGAAGAATTAATAAGAATTATTTATAAACGCTTTATTAAATTAAGCTTAATAGAAAAGATAATCGCGATTATAACGGATAACGCATCTTCGAATAATATAACAATAAAAGAGTTGCTTAAATGCGTCGAAGATGCGTTTAAAAAAAAGCTTTTTATAAGCTAAAAGATTTTATATATTTTATATATAACTTAAGTCTTGCAATTATCTTTTAAAGCGTTGCTCGAACCGCGATTATCGCTAACGAACGAAAGCTTAAAAAAGCATTAAGAAAAAGATTTTAATATAAACGAGCTAAAAAGAGCAAAAAAACGCGATAAACGAAAGATTACATATATACTTGCGATTATAAGTTTTTTTTTTAAAAAAAAATATTTATTAATTATATTTATTAATTATTAATTAACGTACTTAAGTTCGGAAGTTTGTCAAGTGTATTACGGCTAGCTAACTTCGAAAATCGCGATTTAATAAAACGATAAAAGCTTTTATCGACGATTTAAAGCATCTTTTAACGAAAAGCTTAAAGCTTGTTTTAAATATTATTATAAGATAAGATTTTATATTTTATATGCTTAATCGATTTATAACTCTTAAAAATGTTATTTAAAAACATTATATAAAGATTAATAAAATAAGTATTTTCAAATTATCTAATACTTAATAAAAGCAAATCTTATAGCTAATCGATATCCTTCGATCGTTTCACTTTTTAATTATGCATTTAAGTAAAGAGCTTAGTCTTATTATTTAATATAGATTTTTAATATTCGATAAAATATTCGAACGTTTAAATAAAGCATAAGCACGATTAAAGTTTAAATATATAAAGATTTCGAAAAAAGATCGCAATGATTTTAAATAGATCTTGCAATTAAAAGAAAGCGTTATTAATGCTATCGAGAAATTAAATAAGTATTATAAAAAAACGCAAAGGCCGTTAAAAGATATTTTTGCTTTCGCGATAATCTTATATTTTGCTATTAAGCTAAAGACTTTCGACTTAAATTTTTTTTAACTTTACGAAAGTAAAGATTAGTTTGCAATATATCGAACGAGATTCGAAAAGCTTTTTAACGAACATTATAAATCTTTAATATCTATAGCTCAACGTATTAATAATATTAAAGCAATCGATCGTTAATCGATAGCCGCTTTATTACTCCGCGGCAAATTAATACTAAGTTTTTTTTTATAAGCTTCTTTCGAAGATATAGATCACGAGTCGTCGGAAGTGCATAATTATTTTTTAGCTCGTAAGTTTAAAATTTTAATTTAAAACTTTAATTTTATTAATTTTTATTAATTAAGTTTAGCGGTCGACGAACGAGAGATTTTGACTTCTTAGCGAAACTTTGAGCTTCGGTACCTTAATTTAGCTCGAATAGCTAAAGATTTTCTATGCATCTTTTTAACTAGTGTTTGCGTAGAAAAGGTATTTAATATTGCAAAAAATATTTGCGATTATCATCGCGATAATTTATCGTTATTAACAATCGCAAAAGAAATAACTGCTTTATATTTTAAGATGTATAATACTCGCTTAAATAAAGCTCGGCACTTATTCGAATCGATTTTAATAAATTATAATAATTTAAATAAAGATCAGCTTAAAAAAGAATTCGAATAAGAAGTACAAAAGTTTCAAGAATAGCAAAATCGTTAATTTCAAAGCTTATTTTGTTTTGAATATATCTTTGCTTGCGATAATCTTGCGATCGATCAAAACCTTCGAACAATAAGTTTTAAGCAACGAAAAGCTAGGTTAATAATATTAAAAGCTAAAGTAGGAGAATTACGTAAGTTTAAATAATATTGATTTTATAAATATTTATTTAATATTAATTATATTAAATAAAAAAGAACTTAAATAGGTTTTAAGATATTGATAAAGATATTTCGTTTAAAATGCGATAGCCACGGTACGGAAAGTCTTTAAATTACGAAGGGCATTCAAAAAGTAAATTAATTTACTTGCGATATTTTTACCTTTTATCGATTTACTAATCGATTTACTAATCGATTTACTAATCGATTTATTAACTATCATATAAGATTATACAAAGCGCATTCTTCCGCTTCTTAAAGCAAAGTCGTAGTAAATCGATTATATTCTTTACAAAAAAAACCAAGCAAAGTAAATCAATCGAAAATAGCTACGGATTTACTTTTCGATAAGCAAACTTAAGATAATACAAATTAAAACGTTCTTAGTAATATAAAAAACGAAAACGATTTAGAAAATTCAAATTCGAACGATACGAACGAATCGACTAGCTTTAAACGTTATATAAATTATAAAAATAAAGTGCAACGAAGTACGATATTATATAATATACGCTTTTATTTATATATAAATTTTAACTTAAATATTAGCGATAGCAAATTTATGCGATCAAAACGATTCGAATAATATTTCTTAACAAAATTATTTTAACGCAAAAGAAATATCAAGCCTTAAGCAAAGTAATGAAAAGATAATAAATAGAAAGGAAGCTGATAGAATACCGGACTCGGCTTCGCTATCTTATAAAACCTGAAATGCCGCTCAAACCTCGAAACCTAGTATTTCAAAACTTAAAACTCTTTTAATCGTTATTCAAAGTCAAAGTAAGTTAATTATTATATATAAGTTTAACGACTTTAAATCTAATACTTTTATAAGCGAACGAATTACAAATCTATTATCAACTTTAAAGCGCAAACGAATAAAAGAAAAAGAAGATAATAAAGCGGGATTGATATAAAATAAAAAGAAAAAAGCTTCTTTTAAAATCAAGCGTTTAATTGCAAAGAGTATCGCTCTTGCTAGGTTTTATAATTAGCGACTTTGATTTTATTTACTGAATTGCTTTTTTTATATTATTAAGTTTTTATATTTATTTGTTTATAATTGATTGCAATGATTAATTGAATTCTTTTTTATCGATATCTTTAGTTTTTTTATTATTATTAATATATTTATATCGACCTTAGCTAGTTAGCTAAGAATACCGGTAGTAGTAATTAAAAGAAAAGTTCACTCGTAAACTATAGTTTACGGGTCAGTTAGCATGCTTTATTTAAAATGTTATATTAATCAAAAGACTTTTAACTTAATTATAAAACCTTTTAGTTAGCTAATGCACGTAATTCTTTTAATCATAAGTATTACCTTTATTAAACTTTAAAAGAGCTGATTCTTTTTATAACTATTAAGTTTTTTAATAAAGTTAAGTTATTCGTAAAGCTATATAGCCCGTAAACTATAGTTTACGAGTAAGTTACGTGTAGCAGCTTTACGTACGTTACGTATGGCAGCCTTACGTAGGTTACGTATAGCAGCCTTAAGTACCTTAGGTGTGGCAGCCTTACGTAAGTTACGTGTAGCAGCCTTAAGTACGTTAAGTGTAGCAGCTTTACGTAGGTTACGTATAGCAGCCTTACGTGGGTTACGTGTAGCAGCTTTAAGTACGTTAAGTGTGGCAGCTTTACGTAGGTTACGTATAGCAGCCTTACGTAGTTTACGTGTAGCAGCTTTAAGTACGTTAAGTG